ACAAAACCATTATACTCTGATTTCCCATTTTCAATGGGTTCAGGGTATAAAAATATAGATGGATAGGGCTATCAAGAATTTATATACTTTATGAGGTCTGTGATGCAATTTTTCGTTAGTTCCGATTGATTTTCCAATAGGAATTATGTGTGTTATTCATTTGGATTATGCGGATAATTACTTACAGATTCTGATACTTGCTCGAATCGCAGTCGTTGTCTAACAGTCCGTTTGTATTCGCGCTTTTTACCATTTGAACCAGAATGGGGGTCAGCTCGCCCTCCAGCGCCAGCAGACCCTTAGCAAAAGCAGCTGCGGTCATTTGCACTCGTCCTTCGTCCGAAGCATAAATCTTAAGGTCGTGACGAAAAGTTGAGTGCAAACTAAAAATTCGAGGACATTTGAAATTGAGGTGAAGGATTGAGATGATAAATAGAACATACCGTAATAAACCCAAACCCTGGGTTCCTGAATAATCCGAGCGCCCCTGACCGCCCGGATACATACAACGGAATATGCGACCCAGTTCCTCAGCCTGAATGCGACCTGCAGGCGTTAGTTCGCCACCCCATTTGAGAATGAGAACTAGCGAAGGTTCGGCGGGCGTTTCGGCTGTAATGGATAGGACTTAGCTTGTGGTTAGATTAGTTAACAAAGCAGACAAGTACCTACCATCATCAGAGCTGGAGCCACGGGGTCGGCCCTTCGGTTGATACTTCATCTGCACCTTGCGATTAATACCCGAGAAATGGCCATACATTTCAAGAACATTCTTCAACTGCTCCAGCTTGCTCTCTTTCTCCTCAATCTCCGCATGCGCCTTCGTGTGTATCTCGCTAAGCAAAAATCGTGCTATGTCCAGTATCTCTTGCAGTTGTTTAGGCCTCTTAAGCTTCACATGGCCCAGCTTGTAGCCATCATATTTTTCAAATATCTCAAAAAATCTGCAAGAGTAACAAGTAAGAAAGCTCTAGTCGAGACTGCTCGAAAAACACACACACACACACACACACAAGAGGGCCAAATCGATTGTGGAAACGCTCTTTCCAGAAAGTTTAAGCTCCATTCACGTCCCTG